CACCCACAGCCCCCCAATAAAAAAACACTTACTTTTTTTAAAAAAAAAAAAAAAAAAAAAAAAAAAAAGCCAATTTGCACCCAAAATGCTCACTGCAAGGCTGCCTGGTGCTGCTTCTCCTCATCCTCTCTCACGGGGATATATTTAAGGGTCTCTGGCCCCTGGATGTCTAGGGATGCACAGGTCCAAATGAATTAAATGCCGCAGGAGCGGGTGGCTGCGGAGGGAGCGGCTGGCACAGCAGGCGGGCTGCCGGCGGGATCAGCGCCGCGTTCCCGATCCCTGCCCTGCACAAGCAACGCCGGTTACGCAAGGCCGCCTCGGAGGGCATTCATCTCCATTATTCTGACCACGCGCGTGCTCACGCTCGCAGCGTTTGCTCCGATGGACGCTTTCGTTTGAAACAGGTGAAGCAGCCGCAGGCTTTGGGGCATGAGGAGGACGAGGAGCCTGGTTATTTGGCTCCTTACGTCCTTTCAGAAAGAGGATTCCTGGCTGGTGCCCCCTCCTCCCTGCCTCAGCCCCCTCCCGAGCCATTAAAGCATCCGCACGCTCAGAAAAACCTCGAGCTGCAAAGGGAACAACCAGAGAGGGACCAGGGCTCTCCCTGTCCTCCGCACTGGGCACGGCACTGCCTGTAACGCGCTCAGACCTAGTCAAAATAAAGAGGAACCTTGAATCTGCGATGATTTCAATTATATTTAGTCTTTTAGTTTAACCTTTGGGGTAGCGGAGCCGGCTTGAAGCTCGGCTCGCAGCTGGTCCCCAGCTATGATGCTCACCGCGGGAGAGGCAGACTGTACAGTCTGAGTCAAAAACTCATTTCTCCTTAAAAAAAAAAAAAAAAGCCTCGTCAGAAGAACCAGCCCTTCAAGGCGGCGAGCTTTATGAGCTGTCACAGCTCAGATCCAATTTCTCCTTTGCTAAAGGGAGTTAATCTTTGTGTACGGGAGCTCTGAAAAAGAGAAAAGAAAGTAAACGCTTCCTGTACTAAGCGAGCTCTGTGTCTGTGACTGAGTGGTTCTTGGAAATGGGAATAAAAAAAGAAAAAACGAGCCTGGCTTCCCCCGTCCAGCCCCACAAAATGTCTGCTCCAAAAATGTGATCAGAAGAGGGAGAGCCCGACGGGACCAGAGCTCCTCATCCTCCCACGACAGCTGAGACCACCCCAGCCTCAGCAACCCCCTTCTATTAATTTCCTTCCCCCCCATCAGCAGCAGCCCACTGGCTGCAGGGGAAGGAAAAGGCTCCATTCTGCAAGAGATGTGATAGAACCCACCAAAACAACGATCAACGTTGGAACAAGGAGGCCAAAAACTGCCGAGCGCCTGCGTCGGTGCCCGAAATGCTTAGCAAGGGGTGCCATCGAGGGAGGAGGTCCCTGCTACCGATGCTTTCGAGGCAAGGCAGAGCCGGGGTTTTGGCAGCCGGCGCATCCCAGAGCGGCTTGGACACCGCGATGGATGCCGAAGGGTCGGAGGAGACGGCAGAGCCCTGAAACCCCGCAGGGGTTTGCTCCCTCCACCCTCCCCCCGGCTGAGCAGCGCCGGGGCTCGCAGGGATGCGCTCGCCAAGGCAACTAAGGAAACAGAGCGCAGATTATATTCCAGCGGTCGCTCCATCATCGCCTGGCCGCTCCCGCGGCTTGAGGTTTTCCAGTCAACCCTCCCGGCCAGCAGCTCTGGCAGAGCCGCCGCCGGGGCCGTGCCAAGGAGAGCTCGGAGCGGCATCCACGGGCGGGCAGCGAACCGCTGTTCTCCCAGCCCCTCTCCATCCCACCTGGCCTCCGGATGGATGTATCCGCATCCTGCCAGGATGCCCGGCCACCTACAGCCTATATAGTGCCGGCAGCTCCTTGCTAGGGAGAAGGAAGCGGGGCTGCTCCGGGGCAGGCTCACCCCTCCCGCGCTCCCCACGGAGGGACCGGCACTCACTTTCCACCGTAGCACCTTCATTAGGGTTGGAGTAACCTTCTCCCTTCTTCTTGATCCTCCGGATTATCCCTCCGTCCTCAAACAAGTCCTCGCCTTTGAAGTCAAGCAGCTCGACCTAAAAAAAAAAAAAAAAATTTAAAAAAAATAAAGAAAAGGTGGGCAGAGCTCAGGGAGCGGGGAAGGAGAGGAGAAAAACAACAGAAAAGCCACAGAGCAGCAGTTCATCCTCCGGCTGCAGAGCCAAGCCAGCTAATTCGCCATTCAGCTGACGAGCAGAAGTTGCCCATAAAAGCCAGCTCCAAGCCACAGCATAATACACCCGATTTATTAGAAACTGGGACACATCCAGTACCTGAAGCATAACACAAAGTAACAGTAAAAATAAGTTTATTAAGCCTGTAAGGGTACAACACAGCCGGCGCTGGAAGATGCTGTGGAAGCTGCCCGGGCTGGGTGTGGGCAGCGTTTTCATTCTCCGACAGGACCAGGGCTTAGCTCCGACCCACGGCTTAATCCCCACTCGACTTGGAAGGACTAAGCCTTATTTTAGGACAGACCCATTCCTCCCGCCCCACCGCCTTGTCCTGACGAGCCCTGCCCCGCGCGAGCGCACAGTGCCAAAACCCCGGCTTTCCTACCACCCTGCGGCACTAATCGGTTTTTAGCACCCGGAGGCATTTCCCAGCCGCTTTCTCCTTCCCATGTGCATTTTTAAACCGGGAATCTGCCCGCTCCCCCCGCCCCGGCACCAGAGTTCTCCCCAGCCAGAGCTTCAGTCCCAGCCTCCCATCTCAGACACACATTTCTGAGAAAACCCTGGCAGCAGTTCCTGGAGCAGAGGGACACGTTTCAGGAATCCAAGCTGGTTTTTTTGTTGGGGTTTTTTGTTGTGTTTTTTTTTTTTTTAAATTTCTGAGCTGGCTGGCAAGGCAGAAAGGGAGCAAGCGAGCTCATCCGCACGCCGGCTCACCGGCATTACTTGCCTCAAAAAAGAGGGTGGCGTTGGAAGGGATTTTGGGGGCACTGCCAGCAGAGCCGTACGCGTACTCGGGTTTGCAGAGCAAGTAGCAAATCTCTCCCTTCT